ATAGAACATTTAAATCGTTTTTCTAATCATTTAACAATATATTTTGTACTACGTTAATTCACACGGCAGCCAAACAGTCACTCGTGCTCCCAGGCCGAGTTACTCCTATCCTGACCCCTTCTGAAATGTGTTTTCCTCTCAAAAAGGAATTAATCGATAGTTGGCAATCTATAAGGAACGAAAACCCACCTAGCAAATTAAAATTTATTAAAAAATCAGTAAATCCCTGGATCACACCAAACCGTCCCAATCGTAGAGGGAAGTCGCCGTGACCAGTTTAAGAATAGGACACACAAACCTAACCCATGTACATCTCATCACTAAGCAGCCACCACCAAATTGTCAACACTGCAATAGCCCTCTCGCTATCAACCATATTTTTCAAGAATGCACTTATTATACTTCAAGCCTAAATCGATTATCTCTAAAACCGGATATATCAGCAGTATTAAGTCATTAACTATAAAACATATTTTGGAAGAATGCCGTTTTTACACCGCAAGGTTAAATGATCTCGGAATACTCCAGAATATATCAGCATCCCTGGGAAATCAAGAAGAAATCCTTACTAAAGTTATGAAGTTTCTAAACAATGAAAAAATTATAAAACATATATGACAAGTTTATAACTAATGATCTTTTGCAGACTTATTTATTATTTTTTTAAATTTTAAAAGTTCATTGATTTATTAATTTCAATTTATTTATTGATTGTATTGTTATTTTTTTTTTAGTTTATTTATTCAACTATTCTATCTTATTATCTATAAGAGTCTATTATTATCATTATTTATTTATTTCATTCTATTAATTCTTTTATTTTTTTTATTATTTTTTTTTCTCCTAACATTATCTGAACAGTATAAATTAATGTTATTTAGTTTTGAGCCTAGACAAACAAAAAACAAACATTGAAGCTTTTACTTTTCTAATAAAACAATTTTGATAAACAAATAAAACTTTGTATTGTATAGTGTTATTTAGTTAACACTAAAATATTACTACTAAGTATTCTTGAGTACTTTGGGGAACGGTTGGATTGAATTTTAAGTTTGATGGTTCAAATTATTCGGTGAAATCCTCTAAGTGTTTTAAAACATTCTCAGCTGAAAACACTGACTCAATATTGAGTAAAATGTGTTTAATCAGTTTTCTGGAAGATATTTAGCGATTTTTCGAAAGAAAAGATTAGTCGATTTTTTAAGTTTGGTATCTCAAATTATTAGGTGAGATTCCCTGGTGTTTTCATAGCTAAGCGACACGAATTTTATATGTTTGGGCTGCCCGCTAAAAGTTATCTCAAGATTACTAGAACGAACAACTGGATCAATTTTTAAGTTTCATGACTCAAAATATTCAATGAGATCCCGTGAATGTTTTGAAACAATGAGCTCTAAACATAGACCCGTGATTGGATAAAACCAGTTTTATCAATTTGCTAAAAGGTATGTCACAAGTTTTTGAGTGAACCGCTGGTACAATGAATGCTCTGATTTTCAGTAGTATCTAGCTCAAATATATTTACTGTTATAAGGATGGATATGACAAACAAAAAAAACTGATATGTATGCTTTTGACCACACAATAGAAGTAAAATGTTAACAAAGCGAGATAATATAAATAATGTACTATATATTATATTATATGAAACATAAATCTAAAATAATAGCTCATTGTTAGGAGGATGAAATGCTGAACAATACCCTCGCTTACAGTATGCAGGTCCGATTTTTAGTTCCTGAGATTTTTAGTCCATATCTTCCATAAAACTCGTTGTCATTCGGTTTTCGACAGTATTTTCCCTTTACGTCTCTTTAACTGGACGAGCCGTGTTTAGGTACAATTTTGAATAAGAACTCATTACAGAGAGGATGGTATGATGAACATTTCCCTCTTTAACAATATGCAGGTCCAAATTTCAATTTTTGAGATATTTTAATCTATTTTTTTCGATAAAAACTCGTTATCATTCAGTTTTCGACACTATTTTTCGCCTCTTTAATACGGAGTGCCGTGTTAAGGAACAATTTTAAATAATAGCTCATTACAAAGAGTACGGAATGGTGAACATTTCCCTCTCTAACAATATTCAGATCCAAATTTCAGTTCTTAAATTATTTTAATCTATGAGTAAAAACACCTTAATTAATCGACACCACCCGACTTTCCCCGAGCGTTACACATCGGAGATCTGACGGCTCAATCGCATTCATTCTCCACAAAAAAGTGAGAAGTTTTCACATCAAAAACGATGTTAATACATAATTATAAGCTAATCTGATTATTATATGTCAATGGAGTTTGTGGAACTAAAATAGCTACAGGTTCCGGCTAGTATTAATTAACAGTCGGACTGGACTGGTGGGAATCTGATCTGACGGACACCAACTGACAGTCAGTATGTTGCTTTCTCGGTGCATTGTTCCACCATTAGTGCCATGCCAATGCGCCATATCCCTTTCCCTGTCATCTTCTTAATTAATGCGCTGCTATATGTTGATTAAATTTAATGCTGATCATTACCAGTTCCAGAATTGGAAATTTTAAAATCATCTCTGTAGAGATTTCATCATAATATGCACATTAAATGATAATATAATTAGAATTAAAATGAAATATTTGAGCAATGAAATTTCATGATGATTTTTCGTTTTGAATTATTTCTGTATAACTATATTGTTATCAATACTTAACAGAACTTCCTTGTTAGGATGAAATTGGATAGAGGAATGTATCAGCATCATACGATTGCAAGAATATTAACATAAAACAGCCAAATACTGCAGCACACTAAAGTGTTGAAACATGAATTTGATTTTGGTAATGTCTGAGTGTTACAGAACGAGAAGATCATTTCGGTATATAGGGCTACTATACGGACAGAGGTGGAATCAGGTCCATCCACATTACAAATAATGAAGACAATAATTCTATGTTGAGCAGGAAAGAGCAAATTTTACTCTTAAGACTCAGAACAGAATACAACAGGATGAGGGCAGACTTCTGTGAAATATTGAAAATTGGAGGAAACTCTCTCTCTCTGTAGCTGTAGAACAGGCTACAAGAATACAGAGCATGTCCGTCAGACATGTCCTGAGGTGGAGGACATCAGAAAGCTAATTTGGCCATACCCTACTGACTTGGCAATGAAGCTCTAAGGTGGTCTGGAGCATCTCAGAAAGGCCCTCAAGTTTATACCCTCAATCCCGGACCTCACCATTTGAGTTAAGTTCGAAGAAGAAGAAGAAGGAAGAGAAGAGTAATTCTAGTTAACAAGAAGTTAGATAATGTTGTCAAGAAGGACTGACAACAGAAATTATAATAACTTTTATTCTGAAACGTTGAACATCTAAAATCTAGCTAATTTGTTTTATGTTTTATTTTCGTCTGCTTGATCAGCTGTTTTTGTGACAACCGTCATTTGATTTTAATTTTGTTTCTGTATTATTATATCTTTTTTCTTATTATTTTTGGGGAGGGAGGGAGGGGTTATGTCTATGAATTTTGGTTAGATATCACAAGTTTTTTTCATTTGTCCTTTCTTTTTTTTTTTGATCAGCTGTATGATTATAATCTTCCTGAGCTGTGTCATCTAACCTTTTGGTTTGTTTTTCTTTTAATCATATCTTGATGATGCCTGAATTGGCGAAACTTTGTTGTATTCTTTTGTTCTTTTTAGAAGCATAAGACTGTGTGGTTTTAATTTTTACAATTATAAACCAACTTTCATGCTATAGCTATGTATTACTATTACATTCAAAACGTTTTATTGTTTTCTTCCCCTGAATAGCTTTATATTAGTTTGAAAAAAAAAAATCAAAAAAACTCAAGGGCTTTTTTTTAGTTCAATCTGTATATTTCAAAAGAGAGACACAAAAATATTATTAAAATTTCTCAGTAAAATAACCTTATGACAACGAAGGTACAAAGTTCCAGCTGTTCAATTAATCACTAGATGAACGAAAAAAATCACTTTATCAATTAATAATCTTCGGAATACTTATATACTTATTCTTTCAATAATTATTCTAATTAACAGCATCAAATTAATAAAACAGTATTTTTATATACAATCACATTATTTCAAAACGACAAAATAAATAATCTACCTAAATTTTATATTCGAATATAGAGTTGAGAATTGAGGAGAAAGGAAAAAACTGTGAAGTAATTAAAGGTAACTTGATTGTAAGCAAAGACATAAGAAACATTCGGATAAGAATGATGAGTGAATTGAAAAAATTAATTTGAAAAGATTTGCTAAAAATAAAACATTTTTGTCGAAATCAAAATTGATATCTGATTTTCTAAAAGTGAAAATCATTATCTAATTTACTTGAAAATATTTAATTAAAATATTAGACATAATTTATGTGTCCTACTGAACTGTATATTCAAAAAAGAAAAGTGTCGACATCAAGCCTTTAAGTATTTGACATTAAGCCTTCGTTGCATGGCCTAGCCAATGAATTATAAAATAATACTATCTTCCTAAGTTCGAATCCGTGTGTTGCAGATAATTATTTATTCTGCAACATCAGCCGAGGATCGATGCTGTGTTCAGGAGAATAGCGTTGGGGCACAGCCATCCTCTATAAAGTTAGAACTATTTAACGAATTAAATAGTGTTAAATCTTATAGGAAAAACTAGCAGTTGAGCGCGATTCTCGTAAAAACACCTACTTGCACAGCCGTTGACCTATAAAGAGTTCAATTCAAAGTAATGAATGTAATAAATACTTTTCATGGATTATAGTGATTTTGGTTCTAAAATTTAGATGAATTTTAACTTTATGAAGCACCGGGCCTCATAAACTACAGTCTACTTCTTCGGGGAAATAGCTCACAATATCTCAACATCTAAGAATTTTCGAGGACAAGATCCATTTCTACCCATTACTATAATTTTGATCTTAAATGCTAATACTATTCAATATTATATTTTAAGATTTATCTTTTTTATTTTGATTTATTAGTCAATTTAATATTCTGTGTTACAGCTACAAGCCCTTCTGGGAGGACCCAGGCTTACATTGGTCTCATTACCGGGGTTCTGGCTGTGGTCGTGCTCCTCCTGGGCTGCACCGTCATCCTCATGATCCGCCGGGGAAGGAAGAAGGTCGCACTCCTCCACAAGCACCAGGCTCTTGGGACGAAGCCCGGGGTCACCATCAACATGAAGGAGCTCAAGATGTCCACTCCCATCATCAACAAGGGCTCTGTGAGGCCCAAACCCTACGGCCACATGCCTGGCGAAGAGTCCGAGGACTCGGAGAACTCCTCAGTCTACCACGAGCCCTACAAACTACTGTCCTCAAATAAGCAAGAGTATGGCTCGCTCATCAAGAAAGATACTATTACTACTAGCAAGAGTGCCGAATACAACACAGGTAAGATATGTTCATTTTTTCACATTGCCTAATTTTTTTTCAAATAGTTGTTTCGTGACTGTCACTTCTGGTTGATGGCAGAAAATTGATAGATCCATTTCATTTATCAGCGTTATTTAATAATTAGTCCTTATATTGCTGAAATATTTACTTATTTGAAACAAATTAACATACTTGAAATAATCCAGGGACATGTGTATTCCCAAATTAAATATCAGTTACTATAATGGGTATCAGTATTTTCTGGCGTTATTGTTATTTTTATTAATCTTACGGTTTGTCATATTACGTCCCTCCACTAGTTTTTTCTTTACGTTCAGTTTTTATATTTTTCCTTTTTTTTTTTCTTTTTGACAGACTTAATTCTGATTTTTGTTTTTTTATCTTAGAACTATTGAGTATGAACTTATTTTAGTATTTTATTAAAAACTGTAATCATACATCGGCAAATCAACTGGGTTGTGGATTGTTGGGAAAATCTAAAAAAAAATACATGGTCGAGCCAGGATCACGCTCAACAACCAGATTTTCCCCCTTAATTAACTATTTAATTAAGAGTACCCCAATTTACCAAGGCTGGGTGTGCCCTAGGGTCGATCGATGGCTTATCATAAATTACTTGATATCATCGATGGCTGATCATAAATTACTTGATATCAAGTATATACGCTTTCTTATACTTCTGTGTTAGAAGATTTTAGTCTTGTTGTATTTATTTTTAAATCTCTTCATATCCACAAAATTTAATGGATCGATTCCACAAGGAATTTTATTATTTTTTATCTCTCTTAATTAAAAAAAATATTAAATTAAATCGACTCAAACCTAGATTTTACTTTAGTCTAACTAAAACTTAGACATTAAATATATATACTTACTAAAACCTATTTGAGTACGGTTTACTAAAATCTATTATGAATCACAAATATTTGGAACACGTAAAAAGACTCATATTAACAAACTTCAAATCTATCAAGTTAAAACATTCAGGACAATTACAAAAGCACCATTGTACGTTACCAACAAAATTTTACGAACTGGTTTCCATGCCGACTGTTAGTGAACACATAAAAACCCATTACAAACAATCCCATGAAAAATTAAAGCATATTCATAAACGACATGACCACAACACACATATTATGCAACATCCGTACTAGGTTGAAGAGGAACTGGATGAGGGATCTTCTCGCCTAACATTTGATATAGATATCACATTAGGAGGAATTGCCGCTGGGTAATGCTCCCCCTCATGCCATTAGATTTACAGGAACGAACATCAAATTCACTAACTGTTGATAATATCTTTGACAAGTATGAATAAAGATAAGTTAAAAAAAAAATTTGTTTGGAATATTGAAAATACAAGAGTTAGAAAATAAATGTGGAATAGAACCGACACCAACTTATTTATTTAATAGAATATCTCCAAGATATATTGCTTATAAAACATTCACTGTTCATATTTACGATGCTAAAGTCGAATGAAAGTAAGAATTTATTGAAACCCGTAAAAATAAAATATCTTATTTTCTATCCATCCTCAAGTTTTATTGAGTGCATTTTATATTTTATTACACATCTCTGTTTAAAATGACATTTTTTTTAGGTCACTAATGTAAATCTATGAACTAGAGAAATATTCCATCAACTTTTATATGTTAATGAAAACAGCTTTTACTGGCCCTTAACCAGTAATGGGACAGTGTAAAAGGCGCTGGGATCTCATAGAGTCTGTCATTTCCTTTCAAGGATAGGGGGAAAGCCTTGGTTCGGAGTTCTCTTGTGTGAATGAATTTTAAAAATATTACATAAAAAACACTTGTATTTAAGTTTTTATTTTTATTAATTTAGTTCCTTTTTGCTTATATAAATTTACTTTTAGTATTATTATTTTGCTGTTTAATTTATTTTTTATTTTTGGTGAATAGAGTGTGAATGTGCTCCCTGAACACTATTATAAATGTCCTTAATTGGAACAGATTGTACTATTTTTCAATAATTAAGTTTTAAAAAAATGATAAAAATAATTATAATATTTATAACCGTATATCATCAACTTTATTTTCCTTTCTATAAGGTTCAGAAAATAATCATTTGATTTTAAAAAGAGAATTTAATTTCTCTCAAAGGTAGAAAAAGCAGAAAGGAAAAAAGAAGAAACTATTGTCCTGAGAATCTGTAAAATGTCATTTGGCAAAATCCTCAAAGCCAGTGTAATACGCCCTCTAATTCACTACACTCTTTTCTGTAGCCTCATTTTTTATTTGTTTTACCCTTTCTATTTTTTTCGTTTCTTTTTTTTTTTACATCTTATCTTCTTATTCGAATTTAATTTGCTATTTCGCTTCTGCTATTGTCTGTTCATTTGTTGACTGTCTCTTTGCCTCGCTGTACCGAATTTCATATGCTGCAATAATATGTCAGACTGTATTGAAATTTAGTAAAATCTCTCTTTAGTTTTACACACATATATATATATATATATATATATATATATATATATATATATATATATATATATATATATATCATTTTGAAGTGTGATGAACTATCTCATCGTTGAAGTAATATTAAAAAAAAAAAAGTATTCTTCGAAAACGTGAATTGTAGAAATCCTTTAAAATGTAGCGAATTCGATAGCTCTGATAATTCAAAAATGTTCATCATCTCACACCAATCCCCCCTCAACATGGAAATATAAGTGTTAACAAATACTTCACACTGCTATAAGCTATTTTTTACTTCCCTCATAATATACGTGATAAACGATTAAATATCGAATTAATTTATCATCATTCTAAATTAGAAAATCAGCTGGAGATCTAATATAGAACTATAGTTGGACTGTTATCAATAGGTATTTTCTCTAAAAATCTCTCCATTTATTATACCTACTCACATTGACTAGTATTTTTAGTTAATATCGTTGTCAATTTCAATAAATATAGTAATAAAAATAACAGTATAAATAATTAAGTAAGACAATAAGATCATAAAATCGAGAAAAGATGACCTGCAAATGCATTTGATCGTTTGGAGTGACCCACATAATTACAAGGCCAATTATTAGCCAAACAAGCCAATATTTTTGAAGGCCACCTTTTTTCTCGATTTTGTGATCACATTATCGTACGATTCAAATGGGAAAAAAATGGGTATTCATGAGCTTTTAGTAGCTAATTAAATTAATTAATTTATTGAGAAAACGTCCCATTTCTGAGAATTTTCGTAGATAAAAAGTTGTAAGTCAAAAACACGATACTAAGCTAATTTCAACAAGAGTTAACGGATATAGTTGTTGGCATATTACAAACATCATACATAAGCACTCCACCATATGGATTAATTCATCAGATAAGAAGTGTATCATTATGACATAAAAATAAGCATAAACACCGAAAGGACTTATTTGCCGACCAATATATAGGAGTCTTTCCCGCGTAATATATACCCTAAGGATAGAGTTGCATAAAATTACTTAATTGGAGAAAAATTAATTATGAAGTGATACTAATATTGAGTGATTAATTAAGCTGTTAGCGTCACTTTATGTCAAATGCAAAATATCTCCCCTCCGAGCTCTTTAATGTTTATAGCAGTTATGATAGAAATAATTATAGTGAAGAGCGTTATTAGCTTTGTAACTCCGACAGAAGTGCTATAAAGCTGGGACCAGCTCGGAGCTAGGAGTTTAATGCCACTCTTCGCAAACTATAATATACAGAGAGATCTGGGCCGGCTAGATTATTGAGAGCAATTAAGCTCTTTGCTATACTGTTTTATGGGAGATCTCAGGGATATATTCTCCATTTAATGGCCCTTTCCCGTATTTAATATTAATAAGGAGACATTCTCATAAATTATTATTTAAGTAGGAAAATTAATCACTATTCAGATTACTATTCCTTGCATATAAATCTCTCAAATTCTTGAACTGATGGAATTTCCCAGTACACGCAATTCGAAAGATTTATGCAAGTCAAGGAGACAGACTGTCTGATAATTCTAACTGGAAACTGGAAAGTGCCTGTAAATAAAAGTACCATGTTGATAAAAGAAAATAATTTTTTATTATAATAGTATTCTCACGTAATTCGATAGGACATTTTCAAGAAGCGGTCTTGGAACTTACTCTTATAAAAACTGTTAGTAGGTAGGAATGAAACACACTTATCTCAAGAGTACTATAGAAACAACAATGATGGGCATTTTAAAATTTCCTTTTGGAAACTTTGTTCATATAGTTGTCAAGATAGTGTATTATTCATCACCCTAGAAAAAACTAGAACCTTTAAATCAACTATGAAGCTTATTATTTACATTTAAAGTCCTACGTGTCCATAACTGAAGCATTCGCCCATATTATTTTTAGAAAAAATTTCTGAAAACCTGTTTTTTTCACTGTAGAATAAGAATGTAGGAATAAAAAAGCAGGTATCGAAAGTGTCGTAAAAATATTGTTTTCTGTTTACTAATTGAACCTCAGGTCGTATAGAAAAAAAAAATTACGGCGTGTTCTTAAGACGATAGAAGTTAAATCATGAATAAGGTGGAATTGATAATATGAAATATAAATTTTTTTTTTACTTTAGAAGGTGGTCAAAAATTACTACGGAATGAGTTCCAAGGAATTACAAGGGACGAATGAAATAGTGCAGAAAGTTTGTGACGGCTGTGCAACAGTGGCAGGAAATAGGGATAGTTGGAGTAAAATAATCAATACCAATTAAATTCAAAACTTTTATTAATTTTATTTTGAAAGTTAATTAGGTTCTAAAGAAGAAATTTGTAGATTATTTTATTTTTTGTTAAAACTAGGCTCTTCCCTCCATAAAATAATAGGCTTTGTGTTCTATTAAGAATGTACAATAAAGCTTATATTATTATTATTATTATTGCCTTTTAAAGATAGAGCGCCAAATTTTGAATCCATCTGGAAATTCCGTATAGCAATCCATATCTGCAAAATAACTCGTGGAATGGAATATTCCGTGAGTTTTTCGAGCTTGGACCTTTATTCGGATATAAATAAATAATAAAATGACTTAGCCGAGGGAAAGGTCCACCCCGAGCCAGAAGGGACCCTCCAAATCCCCAGTCAATCTACTCATTCATAACATAACTTGTCCCTTCCGACTCTCTACGGCCAATCCGACTGCTCAACATTCCCTGCTTGTTTATGCAGTCCGTGAATAAATGCGAATTGACTAAACATATATATTTATTTATGTGACTATTAATAATTTCAAATCGGCTACCACGTTTAGTTCCATGCCATAGCGCATTTTTGACTAGTTTTCTCCTGATTTTGATTTACTCAGAAAATTATCATTAATATTAATAATAACAATAAACGGTTTAGCGACTTTGAAGGTTCGATGAAAAAGACAACGTTGGTATCTACCTGCTTCAATCCATCCACCGAATTACAAATCCACACTAGATCAGTCTAGACAGCCTGGACAGTATGACTAGTAAGGAAAGCCTCGCGAAATCTTATATTGGTTCATTATTTTCAATAATGAACCATTGTGATCGACCGAAAATTTCAAAATTTGTCCGTCCACCGTCCACATATCTTCTCCGAAACTACGGGACCATTTTTTTTCAAATTCGGATATAAAATCATAGGTCACCCGAGGATGATCCTGCTTCATCTACATTACAATCCGCCTTTTAGTTTCAAAATGGCGGCCAAAAACGTACGTTGCTATAGACTGTAGCGCCTAAACGAATGTACCGATTTCAATCAAACTTCGCTGAAGTCATTTTCTTGACGGCCTTTAAATTTATCTATACAACACACTTCAACGAAAAGAAGCTAGGAAAAATGTTCCGAGGGATGATAAAATTAAATTCCGAATAACTCGAAAAGTATACACGTTTTTGTCGATATTGTGATAAGATGTTTCAAAGGTATTTAAATTACCTAAAAAACCAAAAAAAACAACGTTAAAATCAGGCAATTAGGAGCAAAGATATGGTCTCTAGTTGTTTTTATTTTATATGTTCTACTAAAAATATTATATCCTTTGTTTTGGTTTTTAAATTTTGAATGTTTTACTGAAGTAATGTTATTTTTTTTTAGCATATTAGTAACTATTAAAAAAAAAGTTTAGTCCAATAATTTAAATCATCTTTTATTTATTTTTCTTTGTAACTAGGAAGGTAAAGTTACTTTAGATTTATAATTGTTTGGAAATAAACCATTGTGAAATAATTTGAAGACTTTTTTTTTTCAATTAAACTATTCAATAAAATCAGTATTCTGCCAACTAAAAATATACTCACGAACTCCACAAGGTATCAATAAACCGTTTTTCTACTCCATTTTCATTGAGCTTCTTAAAAGCACTCCTTTTTTAAGGAACGTTGAAGTGGAATGACTATGGAAATTACACTAAGTGTACACTATTAAAAGTATGGTTTAGTGAGTCATTCCTGAAGGGGCCTTATTGAGTAATATTCCATAGGAATGTTCATAAATGCGAACAACCCTATAAGTAAGGGTGAATTTATTTTTATTTTTGTTGAGATGTTTGTAAAACTCATGAGTTGTTAATCTATTGTTTTTTTCCAGGTCTATGCCGGTCACTGGACTTCACTAGCGTGAACAACTTTCAAGAAGAGGTCAAGTTTTCCTCGCCTTCGCTGTACAACCTGACGCCGCCCCCTCCCCCCGCCTCCAGGCCACCGCCCTACGAGATCTCGACAAACTTCAACTCCACCCTTGGCAAACCGCAACCCTTGGAGAACTATTACGCTGCAACAGACATTGTCAAGGTTAGTTTGGTTATGAAATAAATATCTTACTCTCTTCTTAAACTCTTGAAAAATGCATAGCGTCTGTTTACTGTAAAAAGTCACTAAGTTCATTTTTTATGGATCAGAACTTTTAAGAATTGTTTTATGAATTATTGATAAATAATAATAAATAATTGATTTGATTAATGGGTAAAAAATCATAGTGCATGCACTAACATGACACAAATCCTTTTGATATATAAATATAGTTACAACAAGCACATAATTTTCAGTACTTTAAGGTTCTGAAATTTCATTTACTGAATTATTGAATAAACCGAAAATATTTTCTTACTAAATCATAGTTTTTGTTTTCCATTAATAGTTATAGTGAATAAATTTGTATATTCCAAATTTGATGTGGAATATGTTCGGAAAAGTAGTTCATTCATTGAATTTGTAAACCTACAACATTCCGTACAGCACGTTATCCATTCTTATCCATCAACAGAACTGATCCGCTACTTACTATATAGATAGATTGAGATGAAATTTAAGAGAGGAATAACAACAAACTGCTCTTATCTAACAATAGATGCTAGTTACGGCTGGGGTAGCCGTACGGGCTAAGGCGCTTGCAATAGGTAATGGAGCAACGTTGAGCGTGGTTAGTATTTGGATGGGTGACCGTACGATTTGGGTGACCGTCCACCAGGGAAAGGCATGCTGCCCGATTCTCTCCCCTCGTTGGGTATGTGAGGCCCGTCAGCCTACTGGAGACCACTCACACCGACCGAGTGTAGGACTGATGAACCTACCTTGTGTACTTAAATCGGGGATTTGGATGTGGTTTACCCCCCGATGTTAATAGCCCCCCTGAGATTCAGCCCATGGACGGTCTGTTTCGGGGAAAGAAATATAGGTCCTCGTGCGCCTGCTGGCTACGAGCAGCCGTAATCTATGGATCTTGACCAATTTGTCACTGTCCTTGAACCCGAGAGAGTCGATGGGAAGGGCATTACCACATTGGTCCCAAAGGGATCGGCTATAGATCTATGGATGGCATGCCGCTGCACCATGGAAATCGTGTTTCGTAGCAACGTGAGGTTGGGTGACCCCCTCCAGGCTATCTAAGCTCCCGCAACATGTGTCTATAAGGAGACCACATCACGCGGCCAAACATCTTCATTGTCTGTAGTGACAAACAAAAAAATCTACTTAACATTCCTTAAATAAATTTATTTAAAAATTTTGGTTATCACCGATAAAAAACTATAAATAGATATGAAGAACACAAAACATATGGTTAGCTGCAAAAAGGCGACAATTTTGGTGACATAGAAGGGAATAGAGAAGGTTGACGGATATAAATGCTTGTTATTTTTTTGTAGCAAAACTACTTAGCTCGCGCCTTTAAAATTAGAATTTACAAAACTATTATGCTGCCTACGGATCTTTATGGATGAGAAACGTGGCCGCTTACATTAAGGGACGAACACCGTCTTAAGGTTTTTGAATAAACAGTAGTGCGTAGAATATATAATATAAGCATAAATCAAACGGAAAATTCAGACGATTAACGCCGAATTATGTTATGTACCAGGTTAATATAATTGAGGTAATTCCATCGCGGCCATGTACAATTATTGACTTGGAAACAAAATAATACTTAAAGGGTTAATATGCGCTTTACGGAGTTTCCGTTGTGTAGACCTAAACGAAGGTGGGAAGATTGCATTCAGGTGGATTTGGTGAAGTTGTTTTTGGACACCAGCCAATGAAGGATGGTACGCTGACAGCGATTTGTGGTATCGGCATCGAACCTTTGGATTCGCTGAACGTTCATTATTATTATTACTATATTTATTATTTAGTAATTATTTTAATGCCCATCATAGTCTACATTCAGAACAGAACATTTATGAAATTTATTTTTAGTTTTTGAGCAATAATTAAAAAGATAAATTATTTTGGTTATAACTCTTTTCTAATCCAAATTCTCCAAACTTAAAGCTATCCACTGCTTGGCAGTGCTTGGCTGCTTCTAAATTGGGATTTAGCAATGTCCACTGCCTACCATATCCTTTAGGAGGCGTTCAACAGAAGTGGGCGATTGAACCAAGCAATAAACAGTAGGAATTTGAGTTCGGGAGGTTTTATTTTGAGGGTTAGAGTGGCGTAACCGGACCAAAATTAAGTTTGCCTTTTACTGCCTGTTCTAGTGCGTTTTTTTTGTTGTTTTTTTACGACTCATAAAACTGACAGTAATTCAGGTCCCGTAGTTGGGCATTCCTAAGTGTTTCATGGCGCAACGAATATTTTATTTTCCTAAGAATTTAAATTAAATTCCGATGTAGAGGTGTCAAAATTCTGATACTTTAGAAGGCAGATGTCGAGAAACAGTATTTTACTATACGAGGTTCCAAATGACCGCTTAGTCCCAAAGTAGTGCTTTGAGGTTATTCTCCACTAAACACACCACAATTGCCTTTATTTCCTCTCTTAATTTAGAGAAAATAAAAGGTGTCTTTTACATGATATATATTTCAGTTGTTAATGAGGCATCTGGTAATAATTGCAACATAAAATCTTATGATAAATAAATTATGATAATTAGAGAATTATATTTCAAGATTATCCTATTAATACTAATCAAATATAAAATACCTAGCTTTATATTTTTGAATTTCTAGTAGTATAATAATCAAAGAAAGTGAAAGACCCTATCAACTATAGTAAACAGTAATCATTTTATGGATTTAAAATTTTGAATTTTGAATAATTTCAGCTTTACTCCATAGTGTACAGAAAATTATAATTTTGAAAATATTCGGAATTCCATCTATAGTGTGATTACATTAAAATTTGAAAGTAAAATCCAAAACTAATAATTTTATAATTCAATTTAACATCAAATGTCTTCAAACAAAATTATTTTTTGATAATTAGTCAGTAAATTTGTTCAACACGAATGCTAAAAGCGAAAGTGGCAATTTGAAAATCTGTTTCTCTAAGATTAAATCCGATTGGAGATTTAAGTAAGAGATTCGTTTAATTACATCGGTGGAATTAAAGAGTCCTCAAGCTCCTGAGACTTTGTTCAATTTTATCTCTCTGAGTCATTAAGTGTTGAGTCGGGCGGGATAACTATCTTCATCAAGCAACTCTTTGACCCAGTTATCCTGGCACCTTTGCTTGACTGTTCTCTCTGTCTTAGGGATGTCTTGAATTCTATTAATTTCTGATTCTGAAGAGTAAAATATTGAGAATGAAATGAGTAATTTTTTTTTTGTATTTTGGTTACCTCTCAGGTACTCCAAAATGCCTAGACGACATAGCTTGCTGGGCTAAAAGATAGAGAATAAATACAAACGAGTCCAAGAGCCAATTAATTTCATTTGCACTTCGACATTACCAAAAATTTTCGCTTACCTCGGGCTGACTAATTTTCAAAAAATAATTTCGTTTGAGGCCATTTGATCGTAAGTTGGATTATACAATTTCATGTTCAAGTTCAAATCATAAAATATGTTCTAACGTAAACTCCAATGTACATGAAATGGCAAGGATTTAAGATCATATAGAATGAAATCAATTTCAACCCGATTTGCTTACAAAAAATTAGAACCAGCAATAATTTTCTTTATTTCTGTTTTACAAAAGTATGAAATCCAAAAATTGTATTTTTGGAAAAACAGTGATTCCTCTTCCTGACGGTTATAGTAACGTTGAATTTGACGAAAACCCAGAGGATTTATGAATACCTAAGTGATCAGCAAACAAATCCCCCAATCCACCAAGCCCAAACTTTTACGAATTTGTGTTTGTACAAAAATGAAGGATTTTTTTTTGGACCTTAAAAATTAATATGAGTCACATTTCAAAAATTTACATTGACTTCTTTGTTGGAAGCGAGTATATTGGGTATATTTAAGGCTATCGTCAATATTTTTTTCTTATATAGGTATACATGTTTATATATATATATATATATATATATATATATATATATATATATATATATATATATATATATATCGATTGGTTTATTGGTTTATAATAACCTGTTAATGCATGCAGAAGAAAGATAGAAAACATAATAGAGAAAATATTTTAAATTAAATTGATAACATTTTTTCGGGTTATAGAACACATTGGTATGAATCCTTCGACAAATTTATGATTTTGAAGTATAACATTGTCATATTTCCACCTATTATAGTGGTAAAATTTTAATAAATCTGTTTTAAAAAATGGCCCTATAAATTATTTGATGGAAAATTAGATTTTTAAAAAGGTTTTGCTACTAAAATATATTATTTTTAATGCTATAATTTCATTCTTTTCTTCATTAGTTTGGTATTTTTCGAAACTTTTTGGAATTGTCAAAACGTTCAAAATAAAATACAATTTTATTCTTGTTAAAAAAAAATATTAGTGAATGTTTTATTTAATAGATTTTAGGCTGCAGATCAAATTTAAAATACGTTTTCATTTGTATTTACATATTTGTCAACCTTTCGGCTTCTTGAGCCAGTTTAAGAATCTATCATGCATATTTTCATTACAAATTTTTATATCATTTTTATATATTTCCTCCATTGATCTATCCTTTATTTCAGGAAATTTCGTTGTGATTTCTAGTTTGTAGAAGGCATTAAGTCTGTTGATACTTTACTATTCGTTAACTCAAGGTTTGACTATCCGTTCATGACAAATTCTTGAAATTGGCTCAAGAAGCCGTAAGGTTGACGAATAAATAAATAAAATAAAAACAACATATTTTATTGTTTATTATATAGTATATTATGTGAACTAAAATCTATTAAATAAAACATAATAAAATGACATCGATGGTAAAAATAAATAAGAAAATTATTAGTAAAATTTGTGAAAATATTGTAGTATTTTAATTTAATCTTTTATTGATAAAAAAATAAGCAATGGAGGTGTATTTAATAGTGCTTTCTGTTCACACCGTCTTCAACATTACTCTTTTCCATCCTAAACCTCTTAGCCTGAAATCCATTTACCTCTTTGGCAGACTGAGAGGCGAGAGCAGCACCTGACACCTGGCAAGTTCACACCGTTGAAGCTTCCTGACGGCAGCCCTGAAGAACCACCCAACATACTCGAGGTGTCGCGCCACAGGCTGAGGGTCATCGAGAAGATGGGTGAAGGTGCCTTCGGGATGGTGAGTACTGACATCAGATTATCTCTAAATTTCTTATTTAAATAATTGCCACCGATAAATTCATCAGCACTAACTTAATGCTTTATCCAACTTTATTCTGACCAGATCCATCTATGCGAAACCGAAGGGGTGCCAGAATACAACGGGATGACATCATATCACAAAAAACAAGTAATTGTGAAGTCAGTATGGAGAGGATGCAGTGAAAGCACAAAGTAAGTTATATGTTTTATCCTTTTAAAATGGTAATACATAAAGCGCATTGTATGCTTCTAAAGATGCGTTTAGGTATTTTACAAATTATGGAAAACACTATTTTCTAACTTAACTAATAGCGATAATAGCGCTATGGCCAAATTTTTTTTTTATTTTTCTTGATACCAACAGCATATGGAAAACTTCCAAAGCAAAAGGAACAAAAAAACTAACATAGGGAAACAACCATTTAAATATTATTATTTCCCACCGATTGTGACATTTCTAAACTCACCTTTAAAGCGATTTACCAAATTTAAAATTTATTTTGTTTATTAAAAACAATGATATAGTTAACTATCTCTCATTATTAAGAGTCAAATTTGAATATCAATAAAAGAGTACAATTTGATAACTGTATAAATGAGAAAAAAAAATGCTTATCCAGGTCGGAAATGAATCTCCAGAAATACTAGTCACAAAGTATACGCATAATATATCGGCGAAAAGCGGAGAATTTTAGAAAAAAAAAACAATATCTAATACAGAAAGTTGTAGAAGATAACGGAGAGTGGCAAAAAAATTATGAATAATAATTTTTAAAAACTAATAATATTTAATGTAAATCACATGTTTTCAACAAAATTAAATGATATTCACTATCTAAATGTAAACTTTTAAAGTATTTTAAGTTTGAAAAAAAGTATTTAAAATCCACTAATCAAGGCAATGACACTTTTTAATAAACTCTTTCATTTTACTTGTGTCAAATTACATATTGTACTCGTAGACAATCCATAATTAACGGATCGTACAACTCATAATCAACCGGTGATATAATAAATAGGACTTTTGTTATTTTAGTAGTATTTATAATTTATTAGCTGTCATTTTTTAGCTTTAGCTCGGTTAAAAATTCACAAAAAATTTACAATAGCTCAGCATGACCAGAAAATAATTTCTATTCAAAGTTGAGTGGTAAGTGAAAGTAGTGTGTTGCGCGCACCCGATTATTCAAATCTCTATTGCAAGCTAACGATATTTCACGGATGTTTTGCTAAAGCTTTCCCTTTAATGCCTTCAATCAAACGATTCACCGAATCCATACATGATAAGGCACAAAGGAGGACTTGACAACACACAACTTGCATATTGAGATCAGATTCGCATTTGAAGACGACCATTGTGGAGCCCCTTTCATCGGGAAGGTATACCTGATACCCTTGGGATCTGCGGACGGACACACAATGGCCATCAGGCCCACCAAATATCCCACTAATCCAATCCCACGGCTATAGCACCCCGGTCCTTCTCTTATCTATTCATATATATTTTCCAAGGCAAAAAGACATACCAAATTAGGGAAAAATCAGCCAGTCCACCAAGAAGTGAAATCAAGGAGCCGTCCGCAGCTGATATTCTCGGAGCGGTTAATCGACTTAGCGCCCAAGTCAATGAAGACATTAAAAATATTAAGTCGTCATTAGAAAAATACGGGGAACTCAGCTTCGAGTTAAGTGAAAGGTTTTCAAAAATAGAAAATCATCTAGAGAGCCAAGCTAAACATCTGGAGGAATTGACTACGGAAAATAAAACGTTGAAATCCAGAGTGGGGGAACTCGAGGTACGATTAAACAGAGCCGAGCAGGGCCTACTCTGTAGATCGGTTGAGATCCGAGGCATTCCGGTACGTGCAGGAGAGACCCCTTCGGCACTAGTTGCCAGTGTGGGAGCTGGTCTCGGTGTTAAGATTAACATCGAGGACATCGATTTTGTGGAGCGCCGTAGACCTAAAAAAGACGACCCTAGACCACCACCAGTTATAGCTCGCTTTGTGAGGCAGGCAGTACGAGACGAGCTGGTCCAAAGAAGAAAGGTCAAAAGGGACTTCTCAACTCGAGACATCGGCTGGCAGGAAAACGACTCCCACCGGATATACCTTGGTGAAGAAATGACCCCTGCTAATAGAAGATTGTATTGGCTCGCACGTCAGAAGAGAGCGGCTGGTAAACTAAAATACGTGTGGTTTTCGGCGGGTAGATTGCGCTGCAGAAAAGGAGATGGCCATCCCGTGATATACATCGACCAACCAGATGATCTAGATGTTTTCTGCTGACCTTCTGATTTACGTCAACCTACAGAATGCATCCGTAAACTTCCAATCTTCTATTGTATAATACAGCATCGTGCTGGGTTGCCCATCTACTACTATTGTTATTATTGTTTCTCTATTTTAACCAATGTAATTTTTTGTTTTTTCCTCTTTCATATTTTTGAACCTAACTCTATTTTGTTTGTATTTTTTTTCTTCTCTTACAGCCATTATTTACTTCTTTCCAAATTGATTTTCACAGTTTTTTCTTACCTACAGCGTCATCCATCATATGTATACTTTTCTCCTTTCCGTTATGTCTAGCGTCTTAACTACTTGCCATGTTAATTCTCAATCCCTTCCTGCTCACTATGACGAATTTCTCCAATATTTCACCTGTAACTTCTACCACATTATTGCAGTCTCTGAAACATGGCTTAAGCCCTATATCCCTTCCTCTTCCGTTTCCTTACCTGATTATACCTTCATCCGTCATGACCGGGTTTCCCGGACTGGCGGAGGTGTTGGTCTCTATGTTCATAATAGCCTGAAACCCCGTATTCTAGATATTTCATCCCCTTCCAATCATCCTCACATTGAATTCCTCTTCGCTGAAATTTCTTGTAAAGCACATCCTCTCCTTTATGTGGTCGTATATCGCCCTCCTTTGACTCCTTTTGACTCATCCTTCGAATCAACCTTGTACAATTATGTCCCTTTCTATAATAACATTATAATTTCCGGTGATCTTAATACCAACCTCCTCACAGAATCCAACAACAAACGCTATTTGGAAAATCTCTTCTTCTCCCTCAACCTTTTTATTGTTCCTTTCGCTCCTACACACCATACTTGTTGGTCTGACACCTGGCTGGACTTGCATATTATCGATTCAGAGCAGAAACTCTTGTCCTGTTCTCAATTACCCGTTCCTTTCCTTTCTTCTCATGATCTCATCAAATTATCGTACGATATCCAAACTCCCACGTTTCTTCCTAAAACCATAACTTTCCGCAATCTTGACAACCTCACCCGTGATAAAATCCTACCGGACCTTGAAACCCTAAACTGGAACGATATTTATTCCTGTACCTCTATTGATCATATGGTAGACATCCTCACTTCTAATCTTATCCATATTCTTGACATACATGCTCCTATCAAAACCTCAACCTTCCGTCGCCAACCTGCTCCTTGGATGTGTCAAGAAATCCGCGACATGCAAAAGAGACGTGAGGCAGCCCGTAGACGCTTCAGACGAACTCGACTAGCAGATGACTATCAAGTCTATAGGGTACTCCGTAACTTGACACAAACAACGATCAGGAAAGCGAAATCAAACTTCTTTCACGAAACTCTCGCTTCTGCTCCTGATTCTAAATCAATATGGCTAACCCTTCGTAAACTCTCTCTTTGTAAATCCTCTTCCTCACCGTTCTACCCGGTATCACCCGATGAACTAAATTCCTACTTTATATCTTCCACCACCAGCAACAGTTCACCCACCTCTCACCAGTTTTCCTTATCACCCTCATTTAACAGTGATAATTTCTATTTCTCCAACATCTCACCGACCGACCTTATTTCCTCTATAATGAAATCACACACAAACTCCATCGGACTTGATGGGATACCAGTCAAACTATTAAAATTATGCCTTCCCGAAGTCGTTCCAGTTCTCCTTTTCATCTATAATTTTTCCCTCCAGAACTCAGTTTTTCCAACTGCTTGGAAAAAAGCATTAGTCAGACCTATCAACAAAATTCCCAATCCTACCTCTCCTAAAGACTACCGCCCAATCTCCATTCTTTCTAACCTTTCTAAACCTCTGGAAAGAATAGCTCAATCCCAAATCTCTAAATTCCTTGAAAACTCAAAACTACTCGATCCTCTCCAATCTGGTTTCCGACCTGGCTTCTCCACACAATCCGCCCTACTAAAAATTACCAATGACTTACATACCGCAATGGACGAAAAAATGTTAACTGTATTAATACTTCTCGACTTTTCCAAAGCTTTTGACTCCTTAGACCACTCTATACTCTATACTAAATTAAAATCCCTATCCTTCTCCAACAGCTCTATCCTCTGGTTACAGTCTTTCCTATCCGACAGAACTCAAGCAGTCAGCATTCCAACCCAACCCCTATCTTCCGGTCTTACACTGTCCTCTGGAGTGGCCCAGGGTTCGGGCATTTCCCCTCGCCTTTTCAACTCCTACATAAATGATCTTTCCAAATCCATCTACCACTGTTCACATCATTTATACGCTGATGACACCCAAATATATTTTTCCTTTCATCCTTCTGAGCTACTAGTCGCGTTCGCCAATATTCAGGCTGACCTAGATAGGATCAGTGCCTGGGCAAGTCTGAATAATTTAAATCTAAATGCGATGAAAACTCAGGCCATTATTATAGGTTCCAGTCCTATTCTTAAATCCATCTCCTTCCTTCCTCCTTTAGTCATCAACGATCATCCTGTCACATTCAGTTCATCCGTTAAAAATCTAGGAATCACCATAGACGAAAACCTCTCCTGGAAACCCCATATTGCCCTCATCTCCCGTAAGTCAATAGGTACCCTTAAGCTATTTCATCGCTCCCGCCACCTACTCCCACAACCCATCCGCAAGCTCCTTGTATCCTCTCTCATTTTCCCCCACTTTGACTACGGCTGTGTGGTGTACGGAGGCATCCCGATGATACTCGAGGATAGATTGAAGCGACTCATGAATACGTGCTTAAGATTTGTCTTCGGTACATCAAAGCGATCTCATGTGTCCCACCTTTACGACGAGTTAAAGTGGCTCTTCCCTTCTTTCCGCAGACAATATTTCCTCGGATCTTTCCTATTCCAAACAATCAACACTAGACACCCTTCTTACATCTACAGTCTCCTACAGTTTAAACCCGTGGTCCACTCCCAGAAAACAAGATCCCGTGTTTCCGACCTTTATATCCCTTCCCATAGAACTAAGACGTTTGAATATTCCTTTATTTCCCGATCCACAGCCTTCTGGAATTCCTTGCCATCTGAAATCCGTCATGCCTCTTCCTTGTCCTCATTTAAATATCATCTTTACCAATTCCTTCTCACATCCCAAAATGACGTTATACAATAAAATAAATATTGTGAAACAGATTTTGACTGAGGTAAATGATTGATAAAATTTATTGTCTTAATTTTAAAAATCAACCCATGCTTATTTTATTTTATTTTTATCTTCATTTAAATAATGTTGTTTTTTTTTATTTCGTTTTTTCTCAAAATTTTATTTTATTTTTACTTGTTTTAATTTAATTTCACTGAAGACACTGTATATATTCTTTAATATTGATTAATGTAATTTTTGGCCAGATGTAGTTTTAATTTTTTTGTTCATATCTGTTATTCATAAGGGACCTTGTCCCAGAATAAAGTTTAGTTTCTATCTATCTATCTATCTATATAGTCAGCCGCTGACGTCCAACGCATGACAGGGCTCCCATTTCAAAGTCTCTCTTTGAGCTATTGTTTGCGGAGGTGTTAGGTTTGATAAAAGAGAAATCCTTTGAGGAAAGCTGGCTGTTTCTCTCGATACCATCTTCATTTCAACTCAGCTATTCCGAAATAGGCTTCGGATTTGCTATTATTAATAACATTGATCGATAGACATTTCCTGAATAAGTTTATTGGCATTGCTACAGACTGTAACGAGATAATTATCGTATTTTTTTGTTAATCACATAGTCTATAAACTAGAATTTGAAACTTTGGTTACAAAAGGAGTCCCAACACTGAACCATTACATGATGTTGATTTGCATGTTCAATGTTGAAATTCTAGTACAGTTTTGGTTAGATATCCTGATTAGATTCCAGCCTGTAATATCTAAGAATCTTTTTGCTCTGCCTAAAAATTAATAAATTTAATCTAAAGACTATCAATTAAATTAAAAATATGTTATTTATAAAAAATAATTTATTTGAGATCAGATAATTTGAATACAATTTTTTAATAATATTCGCTTTGTTTCTGTATTCATCAGGAAAGAGTTCGTCCGTGAGAGCTCATGGATGGCGACGCTGCGGGACCCTAACGTTGCCAGGGTAGTTGGAATCTGTTCCCAGGAGGAACCGTTCTGTCTTCTCCAGGAGTACTGCGAGTTTGGGGATCTACCTACGTTCCTCCAGCTCCAGTCTACCTCTCCGGATGAGGAGAATCCAGCCCTCAGGTAAGTCTTTGGATATATGTTACTTCTGTTATCCTTCTCAAATACGTTCTGGAACTAACATATTATTGCTAAGTATAGAATAGTTCTTATTTATTTATTTAGTGACCTGTCTTGTGTAGAAAAAGAGATTTTTTCCATGAATTTAAAAATTACACTGAACAAATAAAAAAAATTGGAAACATTTAGGGACATCTTGGTTGGCCGGAAATAATTTCAAACATAATGATGAACCTCTGAAAATTTTTGTAATAATTTCAATTTAAATGGTACTTCATTGAGTTTTTTTTTTTCATAAAATTAATCGGATCATTCATAAAACATAATACAAAACTAATATATTTATAAGAAATAGTTCTTAATTGTATTGTTATGTTAATTTTACGAAACTTAAATAACGATATTTCCCTTCAATGTTGAGTACCTTGCCAAAATCCTTAAAGTGGTAGCTTTTTCTTTATTTCACAGTACAGTATCCTTTTCATCAAATTATTAGCACTCGTCTACAACTTCTGACACTATATTCTTTCATAATCTACAACATTTTTGTTTTACAAAAACGGTTTAGTTAATTAATTAAATTAAAAACTCAACGTAAGATTATTTGATTACCAAATAACGAAAAAATGTGGCCTACAAAAATATTGGGATATTTGGAATGTATAACCTTGCTATTTTGACTTGTTGGGATGCATGTTTCAAAATACGCAACATTTTTTTTTTTTTAGTTCTTTCTCGTTTTTTTTTTTTTGTGAACAAATTATCTTACGATTCAAGAGGAAAGCGACTGGACGTTTATAATATTTTAGTGCCTCATTGGATATACACAGTTTAACGATCTCCAGATTGAAAACGTCCCATTTCCGAAAATCGTCGTAAATAAAAAACGTTGTAGATTACGATAAGATTGAGGCTTTTAGGTGGATGTTAATAATTTGATAAAAGGGGATTGATTTGTACCGTGGAATATTTAAATGAAACGAATTGGGATTCGCGTTTGTGTATGCTTTTCCAATTAAGGCCGGTCCGGTTGGATGCTGGGCTGACCTGGAATTCTATCCCAGATGTTAATGGTTGTAATAATTAACCGCTTTGTGCAGGCGATGCCAGGAGAACAATGCCTATGCACCATTGCCACGAGGAGAATACCAGAATTGTGGAATGTTCCACTCCAAACGGAGCCCAAATACCGATTCAGTAGCTACCATTCTGTCCCAAAATTTAAATAATTCATTCGATTGCGGTAGTTTCCCGATCGTCTCAATAATTCAATTGTATCGCCGATAATTATTTGCAATGTCTGAAACTGAAATTCAAAAATATGCTAGAGTTCATCGTTCCCAAAGCTTTTTGACGGGAAAAGTAAGATCTTGTATTTTAGATTAAATTCTAATTTAAACGTCCATTTCCAAAGTAATTTCTAATCATCGACAGATTTTCAATAAAAAAAAAAAAAGATTTTCTATTCCATTTGAAATATCGAGACCAATATTTAAAAAAATATATATATTTTTTATTTGTAGTCCGTGTTTTCCTTAACCCCTTTGTAATTTTTATAATGATTAAAAAAAATTGATATTGAAACTTCAAGGCTGTCTCTGTTTCTGAACCAAATAGGTTGATTATTAGGGTTCAGTTTGTAGAATAAAAATGTGATACTATAAAAATTTAATATTTTGTTTACAGTATTAGTCCGTGGTATAGATCCCTTTTTATCAAATTATTAACATCTCTCTGAAGCTTCATAAATAGCTTTAACTCATCGTAACCTCCAACTATTCTATTTACGAATTCGGGCGTTTTTAATCTGTAGATCGGCAAACTTTATCTATTTAATTAGATACTAAAAACTCAGGAATACTCATTTGATTTCCACTTGAATCGTAAGATAATTTGATTTTCAAAATCAAGAAAAAGTGTGGACTTCAAAAATATTAGGCTATTTGCCGTGACATACACCCCCAACATATCAAAATAACGAGGTTATATAGGTCTTTTTTTTTATCAAATTATCTTACGATCCAAGCGGAAAACGCCTCTATTCTAAGAGTTTTCGTAAATAAAATAGTTGTAGATTACAATGAGATGACGCTATTCAGGAAGTTTCAGGCCAATGTTAATAATTTGATAAAAGGGGGTCAGTGCCACAGACTATGTTGATACAATTAAATTAATTAATTTTATTTAATAAAAGCTGTATGACAAAGATGAATACTTGTTTTCTAGACATATTTACGAAATGCAAGTATCAATACGTTTCTGGAAAAAAAATTAAAAGAATGTTTATGAAAATCAAATTATTTTCATGTAAAGTTTTTAGTAATGCTTAGATTCGTGGATAAAAAATATACAAGAAAACCTTCATTCTTTGTTCTTCTACGATTGTAATTGTTTTAATTTTTTTTTATGTTTGACAAATTACCCTATTTTAGTAATTAATTTATATTGTATGGTATTGATATTGAGCTATTCTTTAATATAAAGTTAAATGAAGTTATGAAATAGAATTTTTATTAATTTTTCAATTTTTATTTTTTTTTTAGCTACGGTTGCCTCATCTACATGGCAACTCAGGTCGCCTCGGGAATGAAGTTCTTGGAATCTCTCGACATTCCCCACAGGGATTTGGCAGCGAGGTAAGAGTTTTAAGTCCTTTGATGTTGAATTTCTATATAAATTCCTTTCTTTATCCATATTAAAAAGAATACATATAATTTAATATGGAATATTATAAAGAAGTGATATGTATAGGTATATGTATATCTACCGTTGGATAGTTTTTTTTTAGTTGGAGGTTTGTATTTTGTTTGGTGAATTAATATTTCTAGCGGAATATAAAATTTGAAACTATGAAACTGATATTAGAATGTTCAGTATTGTTTAATTATTTATAGTTATCATGAAAATTGGGTCAATAATAATTACATTCAATACAAAATTTATTTATGACATGCATAACTAATCAATTATTGCTGGCGCCGATCCTGAGGAGTTAAGATTCAAATTTGTAATTTGCATGGATACAGAATTGCAAAGTTCCATGACTTATTTATACATGGAAGTTTTCTCATCTGAATTCGCTTTCTAGAAGTACCCTCAAGGGTAGAAGCGTTCAGGCTTCAACTTGCTCGGGTTTTATACTTTGTTCCAATTCTGTGAAATGTTTCCAGGATTATTCCTTTCAACTCGCAACTGTCGGATTTTTCTCTCCCCTCTCATTTCGTTTGCTTTCTTTTCTCTCCGAATGTTCGCTATGACCCAATTAGCAGATCTTTTTCGGGAACTTGGATTGATTTAGTCGCGACTGGTATTGGTTTAGCCCCGGCTTTTATTGGTTCGAAACCAAGGCCAACATATTTTTTTGAAAACAATAAATGAAAAACCTCCCCACCTCACCATATACCCTTAGCATAAGATTTTAAAATTAAAACTTGTAATTTTTTTTTTTTGTACATTTTTGTCAGAAAATAACACTAATATTAAAAATCTAGTAATGTTTTTTTGGACTAAATTCAAATAAACAAGTTTGCTAAACTCGAAAAGTAGTTCCGTGAAATAGGACAGACAAGGCAGAATGTCACTTCTGAAAAAAATCGGAACAAGAAACTTCAAAATTTAGAACACATTGCTGCCTTATCACCAATAAGCCCATTTTACTAAGCATGGTATGCACCTATTCAGGAAGACAGGTTTCATGGTTTACTCAAAATACCATACACCTGAAATGAGACAGTGTATTATTACTTTCGAAGAAAACTATTCCAATCACTAGCGGATTCCCTGCGGCGGAGAAGAGGGGGGAGGCATAAAAGAAAAAATTTAAAAAATAGAGAATTTTTTTTTTCGTTGGTCTATTTAGTTTCTACGAATGATTCGATCCAAATACTTGAACATTTACTATTCCTCTACATTAAATCGTAAATCCGCTATTGTGCTGTAAATCTCGTTGATTATGATTACTCAAAAGTTGAAAATTATTAATTTTTGGGTTTTATTGGGTTTCTTCCAAACTACCAATATATTTTAATCAATACAAATTTTTTGTAATACCTCTCAATGTTGATTTTATCATACATCATGATAAATATGATTTTATCATACATCATGATAAATATGATTTTATCGTTTGTTGAAGTGAAAACTATTGCAGTAATTCGAAAATATGTTTGATGTTTTAAATATATAATATAAAATTAATATTTCGTAAGGGTATTAAGGCTTATGAGTTTGGAAAGGATAGGATAACCTTCGTTAACTAGCGATTATTATTAACTAATTACGGAACTACTGAAGTTAATTTGGTGTAAATTAATTGAAAATGAAATTTCCCTTGGGATAAATACGGGTTATTAATTCTCCAAATTCATTATCCCCTTTAATCTTCCAATAATGGAATATTTACACATGTTGAACAAACCATCTAAGATAACTTAATCGTAATATGCAACCTAGATATTTTTAGAATTATTTTATTTTTTTATTTCCACTTACCTGTATTTGAAATATATAATAAGAGAAAGTATTGCTATCGTAACATATAGATTCTGAGATTTCACTCCGTAAATACATTCTTTAAGGTGTATAAATAACCAAGTCCTGCCAAATGGACTTCGTGTATGTGGACAACATAGTTCGAAAACAGAAATAACTGCAACACTGTAATTACATATTGAAGGTACGTATATGTTACAGAGAATTGTTCGCCAAAGTCGACTTACTGAAAGTGGGACTTTTTAAAGTCAAATTTACAGTTTTACAAATTTTCTCGAAAACGGTTATAAAGATTTAACTAGTTACGTCATAGTGAAATCTAATAATCTTTAATATCACGTAGGTATTATTCCCATAAAAATAGTTGGCAGGGCTTAAATGCCGATTTTTCAAAATATTTCTCTAAAGTAACTTCTAACTATTGTTTATTAAAAAGATTAACTGTTTCATATTGCAAATAGTAATAAACAATCATTAAATATAAGGAGTGTGTAAGGGCTAAAATAACCCGTAAGAGTTTGAAGAGCCTGCCATTTTTATAAATAAATAATACATAATAAATATAATGAGTGAAAAAATATTGGCAACTAACGAAGAAATAAGGGTTGGAAACTATACGGAAACATAAACGCCTAAACTTTCCCGATATCATTCATTCAATGGCTTCATATTCATATACGTAAAAGAAAATGAAAAATAACAAAGAATTGTTTTGAATGAAGTTATGCAATCGTTTTTACTTTTACTTTCCTGTATATGAAACTACTAAGTAGTGTGGTAAGTTGGGGGTGGTGTGTCCGAGCGGACTGTGTTTTGAAAACGCATTGCCCCTTAACCGGATGATTCAACTGAAGTTTATTAAATATAAAATAGCTATGAGTTCGTGTTCCGGTACTGGGAGAGCTTTTAACTCTGGCATTAATCCCCGCCCCTTCCGCCCTGCCTCAGTAAAACCCTCGAACAGCCTAAAATGTGAGATAGGGGTGAAGAAAAAAAAAAGTAGGATGGTAAGTGAAAGTAGTGTGATGCGCGCAACGCTCAAGATTTTTTAATTATATATTACTTAATTCCTTAAATTTAGCGAATAGTTTCCCTTTATTTACAGGACCATGGGTAACACATTTTATGGAAATGGAATTCAGTGCAGTTTTATGATGTTAGATAAAAATAATAAGAAATTTATGGTATAGCTCTGTGTAGGTCGTAATGTTATATTTTGTTTAAGAAGTTACATTTATCAAAACTTGTTACTTTTAATAAATGTAGTGATTTATAATATTTGGAAATAAAAGCAATATAATGAAAATAAAATATCATAACACAAATGTCCTTGGATAAATACTAATAACCGAATTGTGCCCTTTTTATGTTTTATTGTATTATTGTGAATTTAGTTGTATTCTGTTGAACCGACAGAAGAGATATTGGTTTCCGCAGCTAAAACCGCGTTGCATTATTTGTTCTGCCGGGTGGAAAAGTGTTTTCCGATAAGCGCTACCTGAGTGGAAATTGTTTACCCTCGACAGCCGATAACAACATCTGTCAGTTCCTTGTTTGTCCACGCTCGCCACTAATCTCAAACTTGCCGCCCTAAAACAAAAACACAAAATGATTTGACAGCATAAACAAACTCCATAAATAGTATGTGTTTTTTTTTAACGTGGCTTGCCGGGATCACTTGATGCTGAAATAGTTTTTTTTTTTTTCCTTTTTTTGGGAAGCCTTCTCCTCTTTAGCTAGTTGCAACACGTTGGCACGTTTTTCCTTCACTAATTTCTATCTAACAGCAGCAAATATGATTTTAAAATACTAATAGATCTACTTAAAATATTCAATTGAATTCCCCAGAAATCAGTTGTCATTTTAATTTAAGTTATGTTGACCTATAAAAAAAATTTTTAAAGATCCAAAACTGACTGTGTATAATCTTAAAATCTGAAATTTTAATTATAACATATAGTTTACTAGATTGTAAAAAATATCAGATTAGATTAAATATTAATTTATATATAATACATTTATGATTAACAAATATTAATTTATATATAAAAAATTTATATTTATTGAATGTTAATTTATATATAAAAACAGTTGAATTTTATACGAATCATCAGTACTCTATAATTAATTAAAATGATAAGAAATACTTAAAAAATTAATTTATTTATATGAACAATAAATATTACCCAAATAAAAAAAAATAACCGGTATATTAGACAATTTATCAAAAAGCTTCATTTTGAAAAATTAGCTATAAAATCAGATTCCCATCTTATACAGCTCAAAATATTAAAAACAAATATTTACGAACAATAAAATTGAATAGCCGTGATTCAGGTTTTAATTCCATGTTATAGCGTTGAATGATTATTGAAATCTTTATTTTACAAGTCTTTGTACCTAAAAAAAAAATCCATTGCACGTAACTTATATTTAAATCACTCTTTAATTTTATTCTTTAATTACAAAACTATTTTCGATTTTTATATGAAACGTTTTTCAAGTTCAAAGGAGTGTTTACTGTTTAAAAAAAAAACACATTTACAATATTTATTTATTTACTAAACAAAAATCAAATTTTGACATAAAATTAAACTTGGGAGGTGAAAATCGCTTTACAGAATAAGCTTTCATTTTGTTCTAACGTTATTTGCTGATTTGAGAAGTATTGTTGCCCAGAATCATTCTTGGTTTTGCACTATGCAAGACCAAGACCAAGACTGGTAAAAAAAATCGATTTTTTGAATAAAAATTAAGGCAAAATAGTTACTAATACTTGACAATATTAGTTACTTTATGTAAAGTATTGATATAACCAATGCATTTAATTGCATGATGTATTCATTTAACTCTTCTAATTTTTCATTCGGGCTTAGTTAGATCTTCTGTCTAAAAAATTAGAGTAATATCCCTAAACAACCAAGACCAAGACCAAGATTCAATATGCAAGACTCATATTGGTCTCGCATTTGGGCAATGCTATTGGGAGGCAATGTATGAATTTAATCGTTTGCGTGTAAGTATTGGTATGGTCAACATAAAAATATATTGTTATTTGTTTTATTTATTTTATTTTTGAGTTTAGGTGTTTGCCTTTAACATTATGAATTTCGACCTTAATACTGCGGCTGGAATAGATTGACAA